CGGAGGGGGGGCCGCCCCCAGACTGGGCCCCCAGAGGCGCTAGGGGCTGGGGCTGGGGGCCTGCTTTGAGCTGTCAGGGGTGCAGAACCTGGTCCAGAGTGGGGGCCGGGCGACCCTTGTGAGTTGGGCCGGTGAGGGCGGGGCTGGGGGGTGGCGAGCCTGCAGGGAGGGAGTTTCTAAGAAGGCACCCAGTGGTCTGAGAGGAATAGGGACCTGGAGGGAGAAGCAGGCCGGGCTGGGTCACAGGCGAGGAGAAGGCTCTGAGCAGGGGGTGAGCTGCCCAGGGTAGGAGGACGGGTGTGGGCATCCCTGCCGCCAGCTCTGGCCTCTGGCCTCTGTGCTCAGGGCCTCAGGACTGCAAACCCAGTCAAGAGGGTGAGTATGAAAATCCTCTGACCGACAGGGGAGTCCAAAAGCAATCGGGGTTGGGATGTTATAGGCCAGTGGTCTGCAAACTCATTAGTCAGCAGAGCCAAATATCAACAGCCCAGCGATTGACATTTCTTTTGACAGCCACATTTTTTAAACTTGAACTTCTTCGAACGCCACTTCTTCAAAATAGACTCTCTCAGGCTGTGATATTTTGTGGAAGAGCCACACTCAAGGGGCCAAAGAGCCGCAGTTTGCCGACCACGGTTGTAGGTGAACGATATTTTTTCAGTGTGTAATTTAGATAGAGTGAAACTCAGCCATTTTAATTTACAATTCTGTGTGTTGCCACACATGCATAGCACCAGGCTAGGGCAGGGAACACACAGCTCGGTCACACCAAACATCTTCCTGCGACAACTTTGTATTCAGCCTTGCTTCCCACCCCACCTCAGCCCCGACTGTCTGACAACCACTGACCGGTTTTCTCTTTGGGTGGTTTTTGCATCAGCAGGGCTAGATGGGTCTGGGTGGCCGTGAGGACAGGCCTTGTCCAATCCATTGCCCAAGATCGGGTCTGGTTGGAGCCGGTGCAGGGAAACATGTGTTGGGTGTGATGAGAAAGGAGGGTGAGCTGCAGGAGACCTGCCGTCCAGTCCTGGCTCCGCCTCGGGCTTGCTGTGTGACCCAGCGTGTGACACCTGCCTCCATTCTTAAGTATTCCTCGATCCTATACACCGAAGGTACTGTTCTACGCCTTTGAAATGTTATCGCTGAGCAAAACAAAGGTCCCTCCCCGCATGGAAGTTAACATTCTAGATGGGAAAGAGAACATCAGTGATAAACACAGTAAAATGTTAATTAACATGCTAGAAAATGACAAATGTTATTGGAAAAAAAAAAAAAAGTAAAGCAGGAGAAGTGGAAGCAGAGTTCTAGGGCAGCCAGGAGGTGGGTTTCAATTTTAAATAGGACAGTTAGGGTGACTCATTGAAAAGGTGACATTTGAACAAAGACTTGGAGGAAGTGAGGGAGGGAGGGATGCAGATATCTGAGAAACAGCATTACAGGTAGGAGAACAGCCTGTGCAAAGGTCCTGAGGCAGGGAAATGCTTGGTGTGTTTTAGAGAAGGGGTTATTGCCATGGTCGGCAAACTGCAGCTTGAGAGCCACATGCGGCTCTTTGGCCCCCTGAGGGTGGCTCTTCCACAAAATACCATGGGTGAGTCTATGTTGAAGAAGTGGCGTTAGAAGAAGTTTAAGTTTAAAAAATTTGGCTCTCAACAGAAACGTCAGCCGTTGTACTGTTGATGTTTGGCTCTGCTGACTAATGAGTTTGCCGACCACTCGCAGCCGTTATTGCAATGATCTAGCAAACATCTTCGTGCCACAACTTCCCATCAGGGGGGGCTGGGACGAGGAAGCCTCAGGGGTCTATCCTCCTGAGATGGTCAGGATAGGGGCTTCAGTCCTGGGACCTGGGGAACACTACTCTGCTCCATGAGAGAACCGAACCCCAGTGTTCTCCTCCCACTCCAGGCGAGACACCCCTGGCCTTGGCAGCGTGTACCAACCAGCCCGAGATCGTGCAGCTGCTGATGGAGAACGAGCTGACAGACATCACCTCGCAGGACTCCCGGGGCAACAACATCCTCCACGCCCTGGTGACCGTGGCCGAAGACTTCAAGACACAGAACGACTTCGTCAAGCGCATGTATGACATGATCTTGCTGAGGAGTGGAAACTGGGAGCTGGAGACCATGCGCAACAATGACGGCCTCACCCCGCTGCAGCTGGCCGCCAAGATGGGCAAGGCCGAGGTGGGGCTTGGGGGCAGGTGGGAGGGCAGGGGGCACTCTACCGGCTGCCAGCCTGAGAGGCCCCATAGGTCACGCCTCGGCCAGGGGAACGTCTTAGGCTCAGAAGGGCAGCTGTGGCCGAGCGGGGCTTGTTTTGATGGCCGCACCGAGCCGCCGAGAGGCAGTGCGCAAGCCCACCCTCCGGATTTAGGCCCTCACACTCCGTGTTTCTTCTGTCTCCCCCAGAGTGGGGGAGCCTTAAGGCTGCATGACACAATCGCCAATGCCTGTGGCTGAGGATTCCTGGGTGCTGGGTGCTGAGTGTGGCTGAGTGTCTGACCCTGGGGGGCCTTCAGCCTCTCATGAGGACAGGAGCCCCAGAATGGCTGCTTGGGATCCGGAGCCGATGGGCTGCTAGTCCCGTCTCTGGAGTGATCCCAGCCTGCCCCTCGGGTGGAAACGCTGAGCCAAGGGCCCAGCAGAGCACGTGACTGCTATGGCCCTTTGTGCTCGTGTGATGCGGCCATGGAACTCAAGGCTTACCCGGGAGCCTTGGTGGAGACTGGAGCTCACACCCCCTGGTGGTTGGAGCCACGCTTGGTCTGAGATCAAGGTGGGGGGATGGGGTGGGGAACGGGTGCCCCAAGGGCCTTGGGCCCTGGTTCAGTGGTCAGGACTGGTCCCACAAGGGACCTTTTCATTGTCTTGTTGGGGGAGGAAGGAATGGAGAACAGCTTTGACAAAGGAGGAATTGTGTTACCCCCTCCCCCCACCTCTCTTTCTGTGCTTAAGACACAGACACTGACTTTGGGGAGCTCTCTGCCTGGGCTGTGCAGACAAGGCTTCTGGGTGAGAGGAGATGGGAGACCCACTGACTCACGGGAGACCAGGGCTCTGTCACTGTCCTCTTTAACAGGTCCCTCCTGCCGGGCCTTGGGAAGCTCTGGCTCCCAGGGTGCTAGGATACCCCAAAATGCAGCTTTCGGGGCATAGTGAGCTGGAGAGCAGGCTACCCATCCGGCCTGCCCCTTGGAACCACCCAGATGCCTGGGCTCCCTCCAGAGACTTGGATTGAGTCAGTCAGTGGTGTGGGACTATGTATGCATGTATTTATTTATTTACTAGAGGCCCGATGCATGAAATTCGTGCAAGAGTAGGCCTTCCTTCCCCTGCCTGCCAGCACCGGCTTCCCTCTGGCACCCGGGACCCGGACTTCCCTCACAGAGGGAGGCCCGGTCCACCCATTGCAGCCCGCCAGTGGGTGGCCTGGGCCTTCCTCTTTGGGGAGATTGTGGAGCCCCTCAATTGATTGCCCCACAAGCTCATGGCCTGGGCCTCCCAGTGCGGGGCGAACATGGGGCGATGGCTGGGCCCCTGACCAATCGCATTGCACCCGCCTGGCTGGCCTGGTGGCAGTGGGTGTCATAGCGGGTCCCAGATGGTTGTTGGGATGGTCATCTGGATGGTCATTCCACTGTTCGGCCGTTGGGTTGATTTGCATGTTACACTATGATATTATTATATAGAATTTTTGGAGAGAGCAGGAGGGGGAGAGACAGAGAGAAACATCAATTCAAGAGAGACACATTGATTAGTAGCCTCCCAACCGGGCCAGGAATTGAGTCTGCAACTGAGGCACGTGTCCTTGACTGGAATCGAGTCGGGGACCCTTCAGTTCACAGGTCAATGCTCTATCCACTGAGCCAAACCAGCCAGGGTGAAGTGGGACTTTTTAATGTTCCCCCAATGACCTACTATGCAGCAGAGTTTGAGGATCACTGACTTAGAGGGCCCCCCTCACCCCCCCGCCTCTCTGTAAGGCTGGTGTCTTACATCTCCGTGTGTCTGGTCAGAACAGGGAGCCTCAGCTGGCAGGTCTTAATTGAGGGTGGGATGGGGAAACTGGAAGACTTCTAGTTTCTCCTCAGATCCAGGCCTAGCAGAAATTATCTCCCATAATTGTAGGTTCCCAGATTCTTCACTGACCTGGGGTTTAAGAGCCTCTTCCTGACTCCATTCTGTGGCTGAGAGTTGTCCCACTTCCTGTCCCCAGATCCTGAAGTACATCCTCGGTCGTGAGATCAAGGAGAAGCCACTCCGGAGCTTGTCCAGGAAGTTCACCGACTGGGCATATGGGCCCGTTTCATCCTCGCTCTACGACCTCACCAACGTAGATACCACAACCGACAACTCGGTGCTGGAAATCATTGTCTACAATACCAACATTGACGTGGGTCTCCCCGGGGCTGGGGAAGGGCCCGGGGGAGGGGCGGGCTCTGGGGACACTGGGAAGACCCCATGCCTCTAGCTGGACATGCCTGCAATCCCCCATTCCTTTGCCTCAATGGGCAGAGTTGGCACAATATGGCAGGGCCTGTGTGGGGTTCACTTGTTCCAGGGCTCCTTGGGTGAGGGTCTCCTGGCCCCAGCGTCCTGGGCCATGTGGATCTGGTCGTGGGAGTGGGGATGGCTGGTGTTGATCTTCTCCTCCCCCCGCCCTCCCCCATTACCACCCTACTCATTCTCTGTGGCCATGCTTGGAATCCCCTTTTCCCCCAAACCTGGCCCCAAGTGAGGGACAGGGAGTGCATAGTTGTGGCAATCAGGGAAGCCTCCCTGGAGGAGGCAAGAAGGGGCGGTGAGGGGAAGAGATAGGATCAGCAGTGAGAGCTTTTGGCTTTGGGGGAAAATGAATCTTCGGTCTTTACATTTTACCAAGAATCATGCTTCCCAGAGCTTGCCTTGCCTGGGTTCTTCATGGACCCTCCGGGCAGCCTAGTGGGCAGGGCAGCTTGATGGATATCGGTTGTACAGATGAGGAGATGCAGGACCAGAAAGGTCAGGGGCTTTCCTAAGGTTGCACAGCGAAGAGGGGCTCAGTTGGAGCCAGACCCTCAGGCATGCTCCTTCTCCCTTCCAGCCCTTGCTTCCCACAGAGCAGACCGGCTGATGCTCCCGCTGGGAGCCCAGCTCCTGAGGCATTCGGGCCCGCTGGCAAGGAGCCTCGGCAGCTGGAAATTGCTCTCCTGACATTTCCTGCCAAACCAGTCCGTTGGTCAGAATGACTGCCCCCTGCTGGGCAGTGCTGTCTCAGAGCTTCCTTTGAAATGGGGGCCTTTGACAGTGGTTCCTCTCCCCTTGGCCTCCGTGGTGACTGTGGCCGTGTACCCCCAGAACCGGCACGAGATGCTGACCCTGGAGCCCCTGCACACGCTGCTGCGTATCAAGTGGAAGAAGTTTGCCAAGTACATGTTCTTCCTGTCCTTCTTCTTTTACTTCTTCTACAACATCACGCTGACGCTCATCTCCTACTACCGACCCCGGGAGGAGGAGGTACGTGGGCCCCTTGATGGGGAGGGTGGGGGGGTCAGGGCTGCAGAAGCGTGGAGCCGCCCCATGTGCAGATGGGGAAACCGAGGCCCAGAGAGGCCCAGAGATTTTCTTGGGCTTTCCTAATTAATGGTCATCCCTCACAGTTCCTAGGGAACTGGTTATGTCTCCGGAGCTTAGCTGGGCTTTTTAAATACATTTTATTGATTTTTTTTTTTTTTTTTTTACAGAGAGGAAGAGAGAGGGATGGAGAGCTAGAAACATCGATGAGAGAGAATCATCAATCAGCTGCCTCTTGCACACCCCCTACTGGGGATGTACCCGCAACCATGGTACATGCCCTTGACCGGAATCGAACCCAGGACCTTTCAGTCCGCAGGCCGATGCTCTATCCACTGAGCCAAACCGGTTTCGGCTGATTGGGTGTTTCTGATGTGCGGGCCACAGGATATGGGAGTGGGGCAGTAAGGGGCGGGGGGGGGGGGGTGGTGGAGCGGGGCAGGTCACTTACACAAGACTTCCCACCACCCTGGGCCTTAGCTTCCATCCATTATCCCGGGCGCAGAGTTTCAGCTTTATTTGACTGTGATGAGGTCCTGTGAGTGTCTGAATATGGATGGGGTCCTGTGAGGAGGAGTGAGGGCTGTGAGCATGTTCCTCGCTGCAGAGATCTGGATTCCCAGCGCGGGTGGGGGAAGCAGGGCCCGGGTCTGCCATTCCTCCCCTAGCCCTGTGCAGAGACCGGGCTTCCTGCTGGCTCCGGCCCAGCCCGAGGGTTCTGCAAGGTCCCTCCAGAGCTGGCACTACCCCTGCCCTCCTCACTCCCCACCCTGCACCCTCCATTCCTCTCCTTCTCCCCAGGCCCTGCCACACCCCTTGGCCCTGACGCACAAGATGGGGTGGCTGCAGCTCCTGGGAAGGATGTTCGTGCTCATCTGGGCCATGTGCATCGCAGTGAAGGAGGTGAGTGGGCCACTGAACCCTCCGGACTGGCCTGCGATGCAGGCAGGTGACAGCAGGCTTAGTTTTGGTCCCTCCCTGTTCTGCCATTACTGCTGGGGGGTTCTGGGGAGCCATCCCCCTTCTAGGCTTTAGATTTCTTAGTCACAAAGTGGAAATAAATAATCAAGCAGGTCTATCTTACCTACTTCTCCTATGTACCCCTCCACCCATCTGTCCATCTATTTGCCATTTATCTACCCATCATCTTCCTCTCCTCTCTGTCCACTCATTCAACCACCTGCCCTCTCTCAGTGACCCAGCCACTCATTCATCCATCTGAATACCCATTCATCCTTACCCTCTGTCCTTCCATCCTTCCATCTGTTTATCAATTGATCATTTGATTGGTCCATTTATCCATCCATCCAACCAATGAGTCAACAGGTAGATTATTAGATGATGTTGACTCATCCAACCAATGAGTCAACATCATCTAATGTGGAGCCCCGGGGGCGGTGATAGGGAGGGAAGAGCTGTCTTCTTGAGCTCACGGTCTGGTAGGGGATTTCCAAGGGACACAAACTTCTAGACTTTGCGATAGACTGCGAAGAGGCCCTGCATTGGGTTCGGTGCTCAGAAGAAAAGAGATGACCTCTACTGGGGGCAGGGGAAGGAGGGAAGGCTTGAGTGCAGAGATGGCACTCCTCATGGTAGAAGTGGGCCTGAGGACACGGCTGAGAAGATCATTCCTGAGTGGGCATCTCAGTCTGAACTAAGGCTCCAAGGTGGTGGGCAAAAGTAGGTCCACAGTTGTGAGTACTTGAAGCACAGGGCTGATTCCTGTACCATTATTTATTAATTATTGTATTCTTTATTATTATTATTATTATTCACCTACTTTTGCCATCCCTGTGCTTGGGGGATGGCAGGTAGCTACATGTTGTGCTGCCTCGCAGGTTCTGGGGTGGGGGTGAGGGTGAGGGTGAGAGATACACCAAGATCAGAGGAGCCTGCACCCTGGGCTCACCTCTGCTCTCCAGGCACAGGGCCCCTCAGTAGCCCTCACCTGGATTCTGGCTGGGCCTTCACACACTGAGTCTCAGGCCTGGGGAGAGCCCCCATCCTCAGACACCCCTCCACCCCACAACTGAGAGACAGGAAGAGGCTGAAGCCTTCCTTTCCTTTCTGGCCTCAGGGCATCGCGATCTTCCTGCTGAGACCCTCAGATCTGCAGTCCATCCTCTCCGATGCCTGGTTTCACTTTGTCTTGTAAGTAGGCCCGTCCCCTTGGCCGCCAGCTCACAGGCAGGGCTGAGGTCCTATGTGGTGGTCGCTGTGTCCCTCTGAAACGAGTGCCCTCCCACGTCGGCCGGTCCCAGCCAATCTGCTACGCTCCCATGGCTAGGGACCGCCTTTCTCACTTCTAGTAAGAGAGACACATACCTAGATGCCCAGAGAGAGGCTCAGAAAACACTAGGACAGTGCCCTCATCTGGCTGCAGGGATGGCTGACTCCACCCTGTCCTGGAGCCCCAGGTGGCAGGCAGCTGGGGGAGGGCACGGAGAGGCTCAGCACTGCTGTTTCCCTTCTTATGGAGGGTTCCTAGCCAGTTCCTCCAAGTTGCATGGGATCTAGAAGTACCATCTTGGACCCTGGCAGACCAGAGCTGGAAAGTGTTTGAGGAATCACTGAGTCTCATCTGCTGGTACGGAAACTGAGGCCCAGAGCAGGGAAGCGAGTCCCTCCCAGTCACTCGGAACGTCAGTGGTACTGAAGCCAGTCCTGCTCCATCATCCCCTCCTCATGCCAGGCTTGGCTACCATTGGGCTCTTGCCGGAAAACCTAGCCCGGGCCTGTCTGAAGGAGGTCGTGTGCAGCTGACCTCAGAGGACCTGTCTCTGAATGAGCAGAGGCCGATGGAACCTGCGCATGCGTTGAAGAATGTTGGCTTCATAACTGCGTGGATGCCCTGAAGTCCCTGCTCTGAGTTCTTCGGGAGGCTGGGTCTGTAGGACCTGGAGGCTTTTTTATTAAGGTGTTTTATTAAGGGTGTACCTGCCTGCCAGAGGCGTAAACCAAGCTCTTCATCCCTGTGAGCAGGTGGGGCCCCCAGACACTGCAGTGAAGGATAGATAGGCCGGGGCGGCACTGCCCCACAATGCAAGTCACAGGAGAGTTTGTCACCTTTGAGAAAGTATGGTGGTTCCAGAGAAGAACCATTTGTACAGCCAGTGGTTTCAGTGCAGGCAAAAGGCACTGATGCCTTGTCAAGCTCTTTTGCTTGTTGGCTGTTTTGTTAGCATAGAGAAAGGTGTAGATGTGCTTCTTCCCTTTACTCCCCAGTTCTCCCAGCACCCAAACATTTGCCTGTCACTGCAGGAGAAAAACAAGGTGGCCTGTGCCCAGTTATTTTCTAACGGTGGGGACTGTCTGATGGAAGACGCAAGAGAAGATTTTTATCCAGATGCCTGAATTACTGAGGTCCTGTGAGTGTAGATACCACAACACACACTGTTTAGGAGTAGATTTCGATCTTGTATATTTGGTATATATGGTACTTGAAATATTTTAAGTTGTTGTGGGAAAATACACATAACATAAAAGTGACCACCTTAACCATTTTTAAGTGTTCACGACGCTGTGCCGCCAATCTCTAGATTTCTTTTCATCTGGCAAAACCTGAACTATAGCCATTAAACAGCCCGTCCCGATTCCCCTCCCCCAGTTCTTGGTGACCTCCATTCTGCTTTGTCTCTATGAATTTGATTTGACCACTCTAAGGACATCATATCAGTGAAATCCTACGGTATTTATTTTTTTGTGACTGGTTTATTTCACTTGGCACAATCACCTCCAGGTCGGTCCATGCTGTTAAAAAATTAAACACACACACACACACACACACACACACACACACACACAAAGTAGGTTAGAGGATACTTTTGTTATGATTGGCTTATAAGTATAGATGTTTTCAGCTTTTATCATTTTGATTACACATGCAATTACCCATTGTATCCTTTCTCTACCCCAGTGGTTCCCTAGTCTATGTGAGAATCATAGAGGGGTTTAAGAAGGAAGTCATGTGGGTGATTTAAAAACATACAGCCTCCGGGGCTGCTCTCCAGGTCCTCTGAACCAGAACCTGGTGGGGCCTTGGGGATCTGTGCTTTTAAAAAGTCCGTTGCTCCAAGTAAGTAAGGCCCTTGTCTCCTGTGTCTCCTGAACAGTTTTGTCCAAGCTGTGCTTGTGATACTGTCTGTCTTCTTGTACTTGTTTGCCTACAAAGAGTACCTCGCCTGCCTGGTGCTGGCCATGGCCCTGGGCTGGGCGAACATGCTCTACTACACGCGGGGGTTCCAGTCCATGGGCATGTACAGCGTCATGATCCAGAAGGTTGGTTCGGGTCCTCCGAGCATCAGAGATGTGCAGGCTGGGAGGGCCCTCAGAGGATGCTCACTTTTCAGATGGGGAAACTGAGGTCTGGAGAGCAAAGGGGGCTGGCCCACAGGGCAGACTGCTGCTCTTTATTTATTTAAGCCACTGTCTCCATTTGCCTTTGGTCAGCTTTAAGTGTCCAGACCCTAAAATGCCTGGGTTTGTGGGGCATTGAGAAGGGATACACTTGGGGAAGGAATGTTCTCAGCTCCAGGTAGTGGTGTGCTGGTGAGTATTTAACAACTGGGACACACACACACACACACACACACACACACACAGATTCATAAATGGTTATTATAGAATTTATTATTTAAAGGATGTAACACACAGTTCCCTTTCTAATAAAACATACAATACTATCTTAGTAAATTCCACATAGCTAGTAGAGTCTCACTGAGTAAGTTGTTGATTTTTAAAAAACTATTTTTTATTGATTTTTTACAGAGAGGAAGGGAGAGGGAGAGGGAGAGTTAGAAACATCGATGAGAGAGAAACATCAATCTGCTGCCTCCTGCACATTCCCCACTGGGTATGTGCCCGCAACCACGGTACATGCCTTTGACCGGAATCCAACCTGGGACCCTTGAGTCCGCAGGCCGATGCTCTATCCACTGAGCTAAACCGGTTAGGGCAAGTTGCTGATTTTTGTTGAGTGCTTATATCTGTTGCTAACCAATGGTTTCAACCGACAAACGAGTGTTCTTCTACGACATAAGTGTTGGTTGATATTTTTCTCTAAGGAATAAAATGAAGGTGAAAATGAAGACATGGCAGAACTTTCAGTTGTGATGTGAGCCACTTCTTTTCTGAGTTGGATAATGGTATTCAAATATTAGAAGACCATTTCATTATTTTGTGTTATTCACAATGTAGCAGCTACAGATAGGACACATTTTTAAGTTTAATTTGCTTTAACATTTTCTCCATGGCTCTCTTACATCTAGATCTAGGCAATCAACAAAACAATGAGTCAATCTCTGATTTGTAGTTTTTCCAATTTCTTTAAAAAATATTTTTATTGATTTTAGAGAGAGGAAGGGAGAGAGAGAGAGAGAAGGATAGAAACATTGATGATGAGAATCATTGATCGGCTGCCTCCCACATGCAATGGAGCCCACAACCCCAATGTACCATGACCAGGAATTGAATCATGACTTCCTAGTTCATGAGTTGATGCTCAACCACTGAGCCACACCAGCTGGGCACATTTACCAATATCTATGGTATAATTACTCCCACCCTAGTGGTTCCAGCTACCAACATGACATCTTTGAACATGGAGCTGGGAAGAGATGCACAGTAACACTGTTAATAGTATTACCACCATATAGCTACAATAGATGTAAATAACCTTGAGAGCATAGGTAATTCTAAAATGTAGTAAGATAACTAAGAAGTGATGAGTTTTGACTATTATCTCTATTTTTCATATAATATATTTACTTATAAGTTGATATGATTTAATTTTTATTAGTGGCCATGTTTAACAACCAGCTCACACAATTCAGGAAATTATAATAGGCAGCTCTGGTGAGCTGGTATGAGCTGGCTCCAGCACACCACTGCCCCAGGAAGAGGGAGGATCCCAGACGTGAATCAGTAGGGACAGGTGCTCATGGACAGAGTGAATCAGTAGGGACAGAGACCGACTATCTTTCAGGAGGGAGCGGGAAGCAGGGAGGAGAGCAGGAACAGAAGGCTTCTTGGAGAAGGTGGGGTCCAGAGCTGAGCTTTGGAGCACCAGGGGGACGTGGACAAGGGTAAGGGAGAAGGGCCTGAGTTGAGGCCATGGTTAGGGTGGGAGAAGCAGCGAGATCGGGGTATGGTGATTATGTCCTCAGATCTCACTCTCAAATCATTCTTTTTTCTTTGTAGGTCATTTTGCATGATGTTCTGAAGTTCTTGTTTGTATATATCGTGTTCTTACTTGGATTCGGAGTAGGTAATTGATTTATAAAGAATAGTAACTCCCACATTTGTAAAGCACTTTATACAGATGTCAGAATGACAAAGTCTCAGCAGCAATTACATCAGCAACCACAGAGCCTTGCTGTGCTTAGCATTTTCCAATCATCTTTTTCTTCTCTCGCATCTCAGTCAAGGGGGAATCATCATCCCTGATTGTAAGGTGACTGAGGCTTAGACTCTATGATGCAACGAGGCCTGTCGCTCTCATCCATCCCCACTGTGGGATGTGCCTCCCACTTTCACACCCACCCACGTGACCCTCACAACCGAGAGAGGCTGGGCAGGGGTTTTTTGGCCCCATTTTACAGATGGGGAAGTGAAGTCACAGAAATTTGACGATGGCCTTTGAAAACTAGGAAGGAAGTAATGAACTGAGGTACTCCCCTTTGGCCCTCCACTTTATGAATTCTCAGCGTTTGCTTCAGACAGACCTGTGAGAGCCTTTTGTCTCTCAGGGATGAGAGGCCTCCTCTTAAAAACTTCTCCGTTTACAACAAATAGGACCAGCACAACCTGGTTCTATTTCTGACCGCTGCATGGGGAGATTAGGTCTTATATTTCCATGCCGGTTCTCCCCCCCCCCCCCCCCCCCAGTGGTCATTGGCATTTGAAGCTAAGCTGCTGTTTCCATCTGCCTGCTACCCTTTCTGTGTCATAATTTGCTTATTTATTTGATCTTTCATTATCTTGTTTATTCATCCATCTATTTACTCATTCATTTGACCATCCACTCAGTCAGCCAGCAAAGAGCCACTGCTGTAGTGTGTTGGAAAGAGGAGAAGAGAGGGCTTCAGGCCTTGGCCAGGGGGTCTCACTACAGAGCATTGGGGGGACACTCAGGACCTCAGTCTTGTGGAGAGGACCTGGGCTACAGGAAGTCGGGAGCTCAAAGCCTGGATGGGGAGCCAGGGCCACACATAGATTACAATTAGCAACTCAGCAGGGCTGCGAGCGATCAAGGGTCGGACGGTGGAGTAAAGGAGGCACAGAAGGGCATGGGCTTTGTTAGGCAAGAAGGGCTTTCTGCAGAGAACCAGCTCTTCTGGGAGAGCTGGGGCTGGAGATGGAGCTGAAAGGGCCAGAGGAAGCGGGCAGGAGGCAGGCCCGCAGTGTGTAGGGGCATGTGTGTACCTGCACGTAGGCGTGAGCTTTTTGGGAAATGAACCAGGCCCAGAGGCTGACGAGAGCACCCTGGTATGTCCTCCCAGCCCTGGCCTCGCTGATTGAGAAGTGTCCCGAGGACAACAAGGAGTGCAGCTCCTACGGCAGCTTCAGCGACGCAGTGCTGGAACTCTTCAAACTCACCATCGGCTTGGGCGACCTGAACATCCAGCAGAACTCCAAGTACCCCATCCTCTTCCTGTTCCTGCTCATCACCTATGTCATCCTCACCTTCGTCCTCCTCCTCAACATGCTCATCGCCCTCATGGGGGAGACCGTGGAGAACGTCTCCAAGGAGAGCGAGCGCATCTGGCGCCTGCAGGTGAGCCTGGGAGACCTGGTGCGGAGCCTTCACGGGGACTCCATTCACCACACGCCATTGACCACCAGCGCTGGGGGAGCTGGGGCGAGGCCTGGGAATCTGCATAAGCTCCCTGGGCTTGGCCAGGTTTGAGGAAGCATTGGCCTCGGTTCCTGGAGTATAAGGGTCAACAGCAGGTGTGAGAGCAACTCAGGCTTATGGGAGTGCTCTGCTCAGAGTCATGGTGTGATATGTGGATGTTGAAATGTGACCTTAGGTTACATTCAGAGGAGTATAAGGGCATAGCACAAGGGAGGTGATAATTCTGCTCTCCTCCATCCTGGCCTCAACCGTCCTCACCTACTGCGGGCCTTACATGCTGAGGACACCACCACAGTAAGGCCGGAGGTGGTGAGCAGGCTTGGGAGAGGGCAGGAAACCGTGCCTTATGAGAAATGGCACTGAGGCTAGGCTTGAGGAGGTGACATCTCTTCAGATACCTGCAGAGCTTGTGAAAGAGGGAGCAACTTCCCTCTATGATGCCAGAAGGCAGCACTGAAGTATATGGGGCAACTACAAGAAAAAAAGCTTTGATTTGACAAAAGGAATTTTCTAGTTACTAGGGCCTTCTTCATTGGCTTGTCCATAATATTTAGGAGAGATTGGACAAATTATTGCCAGGAAAGCTGCCACCGAGGGGATTCTAAGCCTAGGATGAAAATGGGACCACATGACGCCTGCACTTCCCGTCACTGTGAGACCCAGGATCCTAACATTTTCAGTTAGGAAGCGCCTGGACTTCCAGAAACATTGTTTATGTCATGTTTAAAGCAATTTGGACACCTTTCCCAGGTTTTCTGGTTTTTCATTTTTGAATTCTGTAGATTAGCTGAACCTCAGGTTCTATGCACTAAGCTTCCAGTGGGGTTGGAGTGGGCTGTGTGCACATGCATTTGTTTGTGTATACGTGCATGCACTTGTGGGTGTGTACTTTACATGTGTGCTCTTATGTATGGACTTGTGGGTATGTACTTTGTGTGTGTATGTGTGCATGCACTTGTGGGTGTGTACTTTACATGTGTGCACTTGTGTATGGACTTATGGGTATGTACTTTGTGTGTGTGTATGTGTACATGCACTTGTGGGTGTGTATTTGTGTGTGTATATGGGCATGAACTTGTGGGTGTGTACTTAGTGTGTGTGCTTGTGTGTGTATGTATGCACGCATTTATGTGTATATGTACTTGTGTGTGTGTACTTTGTGTGTGCGCACTTTGTGTGTATGTGTATGTGTGTGCGTGCATGTGTGCACACTCACATACAACTGTGCTCCTGGGCTGGCTCCTTGGCGACGTGCTTAGGCTGGTTTCTGTCCCCAGAGAGCCAGGACGATCTTGGAGTTTGAGAAGATGTTGCCGGAATGGCTGCGGAGCAGGTTCCGGACGGGAGAGCTGTGTAAAGTGGCAGAGGAAGATTTCCGGCTGTGTCTGCGGTAACGGAGGGGGAGGGGGAGGGCCCTCCTGGGCGGCCTCTGGGGGTCAGGAGGGCAGGTCAGTGACTGCTGGGGAAGCAGTGCCGCCCTGTGTGCCTCCCACAGCCACGCTCTGTGCTGGACGCCCCAGAAGGCGATGTGCCCTTCCAGGGCCGCTGGCCTGGGACGAGGCTTCCGGAGCAGCAGGAGGGGCAGGAAGGGAGACCCTGCTCCTCGGTCCCTCTCTGTGTGGGTGGACGGCCTCCCAGCCCCTCCCTTTCCTGAGGAGAGCTCAGGGAAGGCTTTCCAAGTGGCACTCTGTCCTCTGGCCACCCTGCAGGTCAGTGACATAGGGGATCAGAGGCACACTGTCACTGGCGATGGAAATGAGACAGCTACCTTGGACAAATGCCAAGTTTTTTTATTTTAAAAAAGTGCTTGCACCTGCCATGACTGTCTTTCTTGCCCAGTCCATCTCTTCCTACCCCATCTGACTGACTGACCCTACAGACCACCTTCCTTTCTACTTCTCTGACTGAAACCGCCCCCCGCCATCATTTCCCTCTGTGATTGTCTCTGATTCTGACACATTCATGGTAGAGATGGTCTCTGAGTGTGAACTTTAGCCAAACTGCCGCTGCCAGTTGTGATCCAACACCGTAGACACTGCTCACTCTTTGGCTGCTTGAATCTCAACCACCTTCTACTGCCACCTTAACCCTAGTTAACCGTCTATGCCAATGGTCGGCCAACTGCGGCTCGCGAGCCACATGTGGCTCTTTAGCCCCTTGAGTGTGGCTCTTCCACAAAATACCATGTGCGGGTGCGCACGGACAGTGCGATTGAAGGAGTACCCTAATTAAGTTAATGACAATGTACCTACCTGTTTAAAAAGTTTGGCTCTTAAAATAAATTTCAATTGTTGTACTGCTAATATTTGGCTCTGTTGACTAATGAGTTTGCTGGTCTATGTTTTTCATTCATACGCTCTCACATCTTCTCAGCGGGGGCCCTAGCTCCTCCCCCCCCTCCTCCTTTACTGCCCTCCCTCCTTCCCCAAAAACTGCCCCTCACCAGTCAGGCGCACTGCTGCTGTCTTTTATTTATTTATTTTTAATTTTTATATTTTATTGATTTTTTACAGAGAGGAAGGGAGAGAGATAGAGAGCTAGAAACGTCGATGAGAGAGAAACATCGACCAGCTGCCTCTTGCACATCCCCTACTGGGGATGTGCCCGCAACCAATGTACATGCCCTTGACCGGAATCGAGCCCGAGACCTTTCAGTCCGCAGACCGACGCTCTACCACTGAGCCAAACCGGCTTCAGCTGCTGCTGTCTTAAGAAGTCCCTGTTCTGCCTCTCTGAGTTTTGGGGGCTCACACACTGGGAGGAGACTGAGCCCTGGAGGCCTGGGAAAATGGGGACTTGGGCAGGTTTCAAACCCTGATCCCTGGGAGAGATGGGGGAGCTGTCTAGGACCCCCCAAATGCCATGCTATTTGTTTGTGTTTAATGAGGTGCAGTTGTGAATAGTGCCAATGATTATTACATCCGCAGGATCAACGAAGTGAAGTGGACTGAATGGAAAACACACGTTTCCTTCCTCAATGAAGATCCCGGGTCCGTGAGACGGGCAGGTAGGACGTGTGACAGCCATTCCTGTCTGGCCTGTCTGGCTTGGGCAAACTGAGTCTGAGGGCCCTGATTTCCCCATCTGTGAAACGGGAGGATTGAGTTAAATTGGTCCTCTGGTCCCTTCTAATTCTGATGCTTTAGAACCCTCATTGGAATAACTTCTAAAAGTCAGGCAGCAGCAAACTGGGTGGTGCACTGAGACATGGAATTACCGACCTTGCAGACTGCTGTATTTCTAAGATAGTGTGTTGTGTGTGTTTTTTAAAAGCAGATTTCAACAAAATCCAAGATTCTTCCAGGAGCAACAGCAAAACCACCCTCAATGCGTTCGAAGAAATAGAGGAGTTTCCGGAAACTTCCGTGTAGCAGCAGAATCCGGAGCTGGTGTGCGCATGGGCGCTGCAGGCTGGCCGGGGACTGCGAGCTGAGGGCTTGGCCTGGTGATGGAGCCTGGCTCTTCCCACCTGGAAGCAGGAGGCACCCTCGGGCTGAACCAAGAGGCAGTTGCCAGTTTTGCTGAGTGGAAAACACCCTGGATTTTGTTACTTGGTGAAGGGTTTGTGTAGACGCATGGCCAGCAGTCCTGAAACCTCGGTTCCTGAAGTCCCTGGGTTCACCCGCTGGTGACCAGGTCAGCTTGGCTGGAAGAGGAGCCGTAGGGAAGGGGCAGGGCCCGAGGAAAGGAACTTTCTTCCTGCCAGCATCTCCTTGGGATGCAGTCACACACCCCTCCTCTCCTCTGCTGAGCCTAGGGCTTCTGAATGGAAGGGACTCTTGGTCCCATTCCAGAACATTCAGGGGACTGAACAAGTCCGATCTCCTGGGGGAGAGGGGGTGTGAGTTACAGAAATGCCCTTCTAGAACCTTCAGGGAACAGGAAACCACCCTTGGAACGAGTGCCCATTGGCACCCCAAGGCTCAAACTGTCTCAAAGTGAGAGACATTTTTTTTGTAGTGTAATTAACACTGTTTGTTTTTTTTTAAATTATTATTTTATTTTCAATAGAAAAAGGACATTTCAGTTTTAAATGAGAATTACTTCCGATGAAGTACATGATTTTAAAAGTGGAGAAGTAGACGTTAGGGTTTGGGATTGGATGGGAGTGTTATGTTCTAGGCCTCAGGGTGGCCGGAGCAGAAACAAAAAGCTTTTCTCTGCGCACACAAAAGTCCCGATGAGACATGCACAGTGTGAGGCGGCCCCAGTGCGTCCGGCTCACTCCGGAGCCAGCTGGAGGCTGTGATGGGGAGAGAGGCCTGGCTCTCCTTCTGGCCCGCCCTGCGGTAGTGCCTGCCTCCGAGCTGGGTCCCAGCTTCGTCTGAAACAGAACTATCAGCTGCTCTATTCCTATGGCCTAACACCCCAGAGGTTACTCTGACACATCCGTGTTTCTCATCGGAGGGAGTCAGCAACATACCCGAAATGCCCTGGCACTCAGTATTTTGGCTAACTGTGAATTTGGAAGCTGGGGAAAAGGTGTGTGAGAAAAGCGCATTTGCCAAGATGAGTTGCTTTGCTTTTAGATCCTCATCCTCTGATTTCCTCCCCCCTGAAGTTACACGGAGCTAGTTTGGGGGCAGAAACGCAGTAGAGATGGAAGGCATGTTCCCGATGTGTGGGTTGTCTGGTAAAAGGATACATGTGGGAATTGTTGAGGTGGAACGATAACTATATTAACCATGAGTTTACTTTGAAATGGCACAAAAATGAATCTGGCCTTTAGGCGACGTGGCGATTGCCTAGTTAATTTGACTTGTGGCCAATGGAGAAGTGCAAACCAAGCAGCCGCTGTGGGCTGTTCTGGGTGCGAGCACCTGGGTGAGTAGAAACGTGGTCTTTGGGCCTTTGTGCCCCTGATGGGCCGGGTCAGGGATGCAGCCTGAGAGCCACACAGTCTGCAGCTGTCCGTGCCCTTCCTGCTGACTCAGGCACCAAGCATGCTCTGCAGCAGTGGTCAAGCCAGGCTCAGGTGTGAGCAGGGACTAGGTATGTCCTCTGGAAAAGGGAAGGCCTGTTACGGAGGTGGGAGGAGCAGATGTGGGCAGAACTAGTGCCAAAGGTGGGACATTTCAGGGGAGAGATTTTGGTTCCATTCAGTCCTGCAACTGCTCTAGATATTGGAGATGTTTAAGCGGAAGCTGGTTGAGAATCTATTAGGGACGATGTATAAAGATCACAGGTGAACTTTGAGGTCCTTTTAGCCTGCAGATCAGCGTCCTGTATCTAGAGTTATCCATTTACATACAGTGAGAACAGATGTCTTGGTTTGAAGGGAGTCCATGGTGCCATGTTCTCCATGATGAAGCTGGGAATTCCAGAATCACTTTGATTCCCATATGCATGGGTTAAGCCATTTCCATTTCTTGCTTGAAGAAAAGCTGGGAGGTTAGGGACGTAGAAATCAGTCATGGGATCTTTGTCTTCTCACAGGTACGGAGAGCTGTGGGGCTGGATAGATTTCGTTGGCAGGACCATTGCTGTGCTGGATAATCATTCCCAGAAGTCTTTCAGCCTAGCTAGTCTGAGCCTAGATGGGTTTTCTCAGGTGAAGGGAAGCAGTGGGCCAAAGAGCATCAGGTTAAAAGGACGAGTCCTCTTATTTTACAACTAGGACTAGAGCTCAGGAAGGAAAGCGCACTCGTTCATAGTCAGGCAGGAAGTCATAGCTCAGCGGTTGAAACTGGAGTGTTCGGGTTTCTGGACCACAGACGTCCCCCCTGCACCATCATCTTAAAAAGCAGTTATTCAGTAAATTTGAGTCTGCCTTTGTTGTTGGCATATGTCAGCGGGCTATGGCTTTTTGCTCAGGCGATTCATGTTGACAGGTTTGAAAGTCAAGTGTGAATACAGATGTCATACAACAACAACAACAACAACAACACACACACACACACACACACACACACACACACACACCAGATCACACACACACTAGGTCACATACACACATGGGCATATTAGGGCATGTTAAAATGCCATGATTTACATTTCAGCAATTTAAGGGGAAGGCATATTCCAGGGATGGAACCTCCCATGCTCAAGTAACGATTTGAGCTGGAAATTTTCCTTTGGCTAAACTCTGCCTCAGGAAGAATCCATTATTCTGGACATCACATGATGTATCTATTTGGAGTAAAAATGGTGCTTACCTTTTTCCCTGGGGTGGAAGAAGGTGTGCGAGGTTGTACTGTGAAGTCATTAAGCTCTTGGAAGGCTCCTGCCTGAGAGAGCCCAGTATTATTGACGTTCCTTTCCTTCCTCAAGGCCTGGTGAGCTGTGTCCCGTTGCTTCGGGAGGGTCCCAGGCAGAGGGGCCATCATCCTGGCCTGTACGCCATACTTGATTTCTGCATTGATTTACATGTTTGTTTGTGTTTTTACTGTGATCTCGGTTCCAAATGCAGAATTATCATCTTGTTCTCACTGAATGTGCCTTATCCTTCTAAATTCTAATCTACTTACTTGTTCTTAGTATTGTGTGTGTGAGACTCTATGTTCAAGAAAGAAGTCATAAATAGAGTAAGAACATGTTAGTGTCCTTGAAGAAATGCTTTTATGATTTCTAATAAATATTTATTTTGCCTTGTTATAATTGTGTCTTATTCTTGTATGAAGTGTGCCAATATAAAGACCTACTAGGAATCCTAGAGTGTTACTCAGCATGAGTGGATAAAGGGAAAGACACCATTTGGACCCGAAGCATTAGTATTGGTCCCCGCTCTGGGGCAGAGCCAGCACAATAAAACAGGGCGTCTTTGTTTGACCTCTCAGAGTGCATTCACTTCCAGTGCCCCATTGAAAGCCCTCTACAACTTTGGAAGGAGTTTGAATAAAATGAGACCCAGGGAGTTGAATGGCACGCTCAAGGAATCACAGCCAGAAAACATTAGTGGTTCATGGGTTCATGGTCCCCAGGCCATGATCTACCCATGATGGCCTGCTGGCTTCCTCCACTGGTTCTCAACTTATTTTGCATGAATAGGAACCATGGCTCCACCTGGAGACCAGAAAGGACAAATCCCTTCTTTCTAGCTGAAACCGGTTTGGCTTAGTGGATGGAGCGTTGGCCTGTGGACTGAAGGGTCCCGGGTTTGATTCTGGTCAAGGGCATGTCCCTTGGTTGCAGACACATCATTAGTAGGGGGTGTGGAGGAGGCAGATGATGGATGTATCTAGCTCTCTATCCCTCTTCCTTCCTCTCTGTAAAAAAATCAATAAAAAATATATTTTTGAAAAATCCCTTCTTTCTACCTCACAGGACCTTTGTGAGGAGGCAATGAGGACATTGATATAGAAGAGCGGATGTTATTACCATTATTATTATCCAACTCATATGTATATGCATTTTTTCATTCTTTCATAAAGATGACAGTTCTTAACTTAAATGCCAAGACACTGCTGTGTCTTGATAGGTTGCAGAACTTCCAAAGAATTTATTAATGAGTGAAATGCTGCATTTGGTGAATTATTTACTTAATTCAAATTCTTCCCAGAATAACATCTTTTAATGGAATGTGTTTTCTTTAGTGGCAAGAAATGGGAATTGTACATAATCCACATCCTAGATCAAATAGGCTTTAGCTATAATATAGGAATAAATGTGCCATCTATGGGAATATTCTGGATGGACTGATTTAAAAAAGGGTGGAAATCCCTGTTTTTGGATATATCCTGAAAGTGTGATGCCTAAATCAATGAGTGTGAACAGTTTTATGGCTCTTGATATTATGAAAAATTACCTTCCAAAGGTATTTTGCAATTTTTTTTTAGCCTTTGATATTGTATGATTCCCATTTATAAAGCTGAAGTTTACTGGTGCTAGTCTAGTAGTGTCAGTGAGCTTGGATAACACATTTAAGAATAAATGTCACTGCCCTCACACGTGTGGCTCAGTTGGTTGGAGCATCATCCCATGCACCAAAGGGTTGCCGGTTTGATTCCCTGTCAGGACACATATCAAACTGTAGGTTGGATCCCCAGTCAGGGCACATACAGGAGGCAAGCAATCCATGTTTCTCTCTCGCATTGATGCCACTCTCTCTCCCTTTCCCTCTCTCTAAAATTTAAAAAAAAAAATGAGTAAGTGTCATCCAGGTAAAGGGAATGTGGGGGTGGAGCAGCGTTTCAAGAAGAGGGAATAGTATGGGCAAAGACCCCAGAGTAGTAGGGAGCTCAGGGTAGTCGAGGAGGGAGAACTCTGTGTGGCCGAATTGCTGGGAGCAAGGGGACAAGTGACATGAAATCGGGCTGGAGAGGAGGGTGGAGGCCAGAACCCAAAAGACCTGTCTGGCCTAGGTGAGGCTTTGAGATTTCCTATCAAGGGTTAGGGGAACCCATTGAAAGTTTTTGTACAGGGGGAATTGTTGAATGTGAATATTTATCTGTTTTTTCTTTTATGGAGTTGCCGGCTTATAAGGGTGTATTTTCCTCCCTGCCATTCTTTGGGACAAAGTAACAGTCTGAAAGGTGTGGAATTTAGTGGATTTCACTTGGGAGATGGGAATAGTCAGAAAGTGACTGAGAAAGAAAAGAAGGCAAAGAGAAGGCATAGACAGGGGATGTAATAGGAAGACTTCTCAGTAGAGAAGGGATGTTTGAGCACACTCAGTTATTCAATTAAACTATTTGGCACTTATTAGGTTGCACACACCAAAAAAAAAAAAAAAAAAAAAAAAAAAAAAAAAAAAAAAAAAAAAAAAAAAAAAAAAGACACTGGTTATATCCTTGAGATGGGATGGAAGCAGAGAGAAGAAAGAAACAGGACTAGAAGGCTTTATGGATGAAATGAGTTGAGTTGCTATTTATTTATTTATTTATTTATTTATTATGTTAATCCTCACCCCAGGGCATTTTCCCATTGATTTTTAGAGAGAGTGGAAGGGAGGGGGAAAGACAAAGAGTGATCAAGAGGAAGAGAGAGAGAGAGAGAGAGAGAGAGAGAGAGAGAGAGAGAGAGAGAGAGAGAGAGAGAGAGACATCAATTGGTTGCTTCCCACATGCACCCTGGGGATCAAGCCTGCACCCGAGGTACATAACTTTGACTGGAATCCAACTCAAGACCCTTCCGTCCACAGATCAACACTCTATCCACTGAGTCAAACCGGCTAGGGTGAATTGAGTTGCATTTTCAAGGAAAAATAAGAATTAGCTAGAGTGAGGTCTGAGGGGGTGAGGGGGGAGGGAGGGATGGAGAAAGGAGGAAGAAAATTCGAGGTGCAAGGACCATCTTCTGTGAAGGAATAAGAAATCGCTGACACAAAGCCGACTGGAACAGAGAGGACCTGAAGGGAGATGAGTCTAGAGAGATAGTGGGGGAAGGAGGAGCTGATCATAAAGGGCCTTTTGTGTTAGATATTTGAACTTGAATAATTTATTAATCTGTGCTAGGCACTGTGCTAAGTGCTTATATGCATTAGCTCACTTATTCTTCACAATGATCCTATGAGAGGGACATTGATATTATGATTATCCCCATTTGATAAATGAGAAAACCAAGTCTGCAGGCTTAGAAATAAAACCAAAATACACTAAAACTAAAGTGGCTAAAGCCAAACAGCAATGTGTAATAGATTTAAAAAAAAATCACACTTAATTAGAAACTCTGAAGACTATAGGCTTTGAGTCAGAGAAAATTAGACTTGCTAGAAATAATCAATACAAAAACTGAAACCACAGTGGCTTACACCGAACCTTGCAATTTTTAACATTAAAAGTCCTTAATTTATTTCATTAACGCTGTTACGCCCAGACTTCGTGATCCCCAAGGACCACCAGGGAGCCGAGTCTGATACAATAAACAAAAGAGCCTTTTCCATGCTAGCATGGGCTCTGTCCCACTCACGCCGGCAGCATGGCGGAAGAGAAAGCGAATTTCGCCCGTCCAGGGGTTTTACTTCAGTTGGTGACGATGTCACTGCCTCGGCTAACCCTGATTAGGCTGGGTCCAGTTACAAAATGGAGGATAACTCCGCCCTGCTCCACAGTGGAGTCAGGAGCTCATCCTTGCCCCGCCCTGCCCTCTCAAATGCAAACAAACAAAACATTGAAATCTGTAAAGAATTTTTGTGAGTTTATTTGAGCCAAACTGTCGTCATATGCAGGGAAGTAGAACCTCAAAGAATTGAGATAATGCTCTGCAGAAAATGGCAGGTTACATTGCAATCAAAGGAGGGACTTAGATGGGTTACATGAAATCCATTGGTGATAGGTTAAGAAGGTGGGATAAAGCAAAGCAGGGCAGGGGAACCCTGGGATTGGATAAAAAGTAAAATGATGGACACATACTTAGGTGAGTTCAGGGACAATTAACATGATAATGAAGGAATTTGTGGCATCTGTTCTGGCGCCCAGCACATTAGGTTGTGCCCCAAGGGGTCCAGAAAAAGGGAAGTTACAAGTTACCCAGACATTTCAAGGGTATGTTATCATATATGCAAAAAGACAGGCTCAGGTAAGGTAAAGGTTGATCTTGTCAGTGAAGATATCTGCCTAGGACGGAACTACTCACCATAACTGCTTTTAAATTAAAGTTTAATTTCAGAACATCCTTTGTAGTTACTTTAGGTCTCTGAGTTTGCAAGACAGCCATGCAGGCCTCCCCTGAGCTTGTCAGTTCAGCATGTGGCCCCTTTTATCCACACTTTCCTTTTAAAATCTTTTTTGTTGTAAGTATTACATATGTCCCTCTTTCTACCCATTGATCCTCTCTAGTTCACACTCCCTCCAATCTCCCCCTCCCTGCCCCAGGCCTTTACCACCCTATTGTCTGTGTCCATGGGTTATGCATACAATGAGCTTGTAAAATTTATAAGTAACTAGAATTTGATGGAAGAATAAGGTATACTTGCTAAAATTTACATCTGGAAAAAAACTGACCCAGGAAAATTGGACTCAGGCAAAAAACACAAAGGAACATTCACAGTGGGAAAGGAAGCTTGGCAAAACTTGGTATGTACAAAAACTGATAGGTAAGTTGAAGTTTTACTAAAGAATTCAGAAGGAAAAGAGTTTATTCCAATGAAAAGGATTTTGTTAAAGTGCAAAGATAAATGTGGAAAAAAATTTAAAGTTTTTGCTCTATTCCATTATGTATGTAATGAAATTGGCTTAATGGAATTTGATCTGAAAGAATGAAAATGATTATGTATATATGCTCCACATAATGTTAGTATGATTTTGGTAAATACCTTGGAAACCATAAACATGGGTTCTGTGGTGTCCAAATCTTGGGCTAACAATGTTCTTTACTTGGCTGCTGTGACTTAGGGCAGAGAGAGGGGAGGCTCCTGGAGGGGCTGGAGAGGAAGGAGGCAGAATTCCAGCCGGAAGATCTCTGAAGAGAAGAATCATGGGAGGTGAGGGGTGTGGGCACTTAGGATGAGGACGATTTCTGGAAAGAATGCATTTAAGAACCAGAGACTTGGGTCTGGGCACATTTCCACTGGTGTCCACGCTTCTCCGCTGTTTCTGTCTTTACTGCCCACGCTGTGGGGACCCAGAGCCTTTTCCTCATATGTTGGTTGCAAATGAGGGCCAGTGCATTCTTTCAAAAGAAGGGACAGCTGTGAGGAATTGGCCTCTCCCGACTCT